ACTTGTCAACTTACGCACGGACTCCATTTATTTGCTTCATATTCGTTTCAATACGTTGCGGCAGCACTGCCGTCAAGATTAACTAGCAACTAGTTCGGGAACCGGTAGTCCTGGCGTATCTCACCGCCGGTGGCCGGTGTCTTGACCCCGATCCTCTCGAGCTTGGTCATCGCCGCTACGAAATCGTCGAAGAAGGCACCCTAGTTGAACACGTAGTAGTCGATCGTGCTACGCGACCTCATGTCGGAGTAGAGCACCTGGTCGGAGCCCAGGAGGCCCTTGCCGACCTGCAGGTTCCAGTAGAAGGCGTTGTCGAAGCCCACCGGCGAGGGGTCGAGGAAGGCAAAGGTGTTGGGGTCGGAGTTGCAGGTGTCGTTTAGCTGCAACGCGAAGCTGGGGTCCATGGTTGCGTCGCTGCCGATCCTCACCGACAGCAGCTCCCGTTCAATTGCAATAGAGGCCGGTCTTCTTTCTGCGTCCAGCTCCTGCCGCGCCGTAGTCTATGACGCGGGAGACCCTGCAACGTCATCGGTCAGCGCCCCGGTCGTTGCCACGTCACCCCTCTCGCCGCGCCACCATGCATGACGCGGCACAGACGTTTCGTCACGCCATGACAATAGACGCGGCCAAAAGTGTTAGGGGTTAAATTTAAAATTAGTTTATAAAAAGTGTTAAAAATAAATAAAAAATCTGGGGGGTGGCCTTACCATTGTGTGCTTGACTGCTTTGGCAGCTCGACCGACGCGCCGTGGCGGCCGCCGCGGGCGCTGATAAACCTCCAGTTAAACCCTAGCATCCACCCCGCGTCGCCGCACACAGCGCCCGTTAGCACGCGCCGTCCCAGGATCGAGGATCGAGCTACCCACCCCACCTGGAATGGAGGACGACCGGGAGGAGCCGCCGCCCGCGGGGAGCGCGGCCGCCAACGCCAGCTCCACCTCCGGCGGCGGCGGCGGGAGCAAGGGGTCCCCGTGCGAGGAGTGCGGGGAGCAGCCGTGGAAGTACCGGTGCCCCGGTTGCGGCCGCCTCACCTGCAGCCTCCCCTGCGTGCAGGCCCACAAGCGCCACACGACCTGCACGGGCAAGCGCCCCCGGACGGACCCCGTCCCGCTCGCTCGCTTCGACGACAACCAGCTCATCTCCGGTACGCCTCCGTGCCCCCTTTCTTCTGATCAGTAGTCGACGCTGGCCGCCTCTTGAATTGCTCCCTTATTGTTGTCTCCGTGCTGTGCCTGTCGCTGTCGTCAAAGATTACAACTTTCTGGAGGAGGTGAAGCAGGCCCACGAGTCCGCGCACAGGCTCGTCGGCGGCTTCGGCGGCAACTTCGGGGGACGAGGAACCGGCGGCGCCAAGCTGCCCGGATGGCTGTTGTACCTCAGCAAGGCGGCGAAACGCCGGGGCGTCAGTCTCTGCTTCCTCCCCAGGGGCATGGCCAGGAGAGAGCAGAACCGCTCGCGCCACAATTACAGGTGCTTTGTCTTGTTGATTCAGTTTTGACTTGCCATCGGTGTGATGCATTGCTGCTGGAGACCTTCAGCAGGCTTGCTTTGCAATTGTTGAATGACATGGCATGCGGTTCCTTTCTCATTATTATCTGAAAGGATCTTGGTTCACTTCAAGTATTTGGTGCCCCTAACAGTGCTAGAGAAAAGATGAGATGGAACTTTGATGATAAGTTCATAGAGTTGTCTAGTTACCATTCAGCTTAATATGCGCTAGTTAGGCGATAACAACACAAATACTGCAGCACCTTGAAAACAAATGCTATGTTTCACTCTGTAATCCTCCTACAACTAGTAGCCCCAACATTCTTTACTAAATGAATAGTTCAAGCTGTAATGTCTCATTGTCTGTATCTAGTGCAAACTTATATTGATGTATATTCCACCCTTCTCAGCCATTCTTTCCTACAACAAAAATATATCTCAGCAACCCATGCTACTTGTATCACCCTTTCTTGCTTCCCTAGATTATGTCATACGAAAGCTGCTCTAATCTGAATCTCTCTGTGCAGGAAGGATTGCATATACTGGACACTTGAGTGGAGATTCAATTCAGCTGATGTTGTCCTAACCGATCATGAGTAAGTTTATGATAATCTATCTATCAGTATTCTTCTTCTTCCTCCCAGTGTGCTTTCCTTGCAAATTGGAACTGTTCAATATGGCAATATCTCATGGCAGAACAAAGCTACCAGTTTCTGCAACAGTTAATCTTTTTCGTTACAGTCTCATATTTATGATGTTTCTGTCATCCTCAAAGGTCCTGCTGGCACAAATGTTATTATTCTTTCTTTACTTGGTTCCACAAGAAATTGAGTATCAAAATTATTTATATATACTATCGTAGTAGTTTTCCATGTGAAATAGAAACATATGGTGACTGCAGGACCCTAGTTGCTATCTTCCCCTTTCTTTGTGCGCTGATTTTTATGCATTTTTTTCAGGATAGATGAGCACACAACCTTGCTCTCTCTATTGGAAAAACATCTTAGTCCTGGTCCTTGGAAGGATCAGCTTACACAATATCGGAATACCGAATTGCGTGATCTGAAACTCTTCATTCAAAAGTGTGCCAAGGTATTGTAAATCAAGTTTTCATGCATATGGAATGCTTATTGACTTTTGCTGTACTTTAATTTTCATCATATAATTCTTTAATTTTAATCTGTTGTAGCGATCAGAGTCACCATACCGCCTTCTCAATATAGAAGAACCATTGCGCCCACAGCTGAGGGGTATACTTGTTGTCGAGTACCCAACTATCAATGTCTTTCTTCCGTCAGACAATTATGACTTTGAAATCGAGAAAACGGTGAACAGGCTTCCTAAAGATGGAAAAAACCCTGGCAGCACAACTGACGAGTCACCTGTAGAAGGCAGCAAGTTTCATGAGGAGGAAATAGAGGAAGGCGAGTTTTCACCTGAGACGGAGATTATAGATCTCAAGGACTGTGGAACTTCGAATGCCTGTAAAATTTCTCCAGTAGATGTTACAAGTGAATCAAAGATACATAACAATGTTGATTCTTCTGTGCTCTCATACCCAGGTTGTCAAGCATTACATGGTCAGCCGAAAGAACTGAATCAATTTGGCAAGATATCACCAAATGGTACCTCTGGGCCTGCAGAAACTAAGTCCCGCATGGAAGTCTGTCCTCTGGATATGGAGAAGACAAGGAAAAGTGGGTTGTGCTCAGAGGGGCACATTTTAGATCTGAAGGGGCATGCAACTTCATATCATGGCAGCATTGCAGAGTCAGAAGGTGCAGCTTTATCTAAGATAGACATCAAGACAACAGATTCTTTAGTACCATCTTCTCTCAGCATTGTAGCATCTGATGGTGTGACGGGTCCCCAGCTGGAACACAGTCAACAAAACAAACGGACGCCAAGCTCAACTCCTGAAGCGCTGAAAAGGAAATCTTGCATGAAAGTTTATCCACTGGACTTTGACGAGAGACTGTTCCCAGAGGTACCCGACTTGGCCTTTGAGCAAGAGATGATGAATACCTACCCAGAGCTGTTTGAGAATATGGATGTTGATGACTTCTTAAGCTGTGATTTTGCAATGATGAACAGGGTTGAGCCAGTAGAGGCACCGTCTGGGTCACTGTGGGACGACTTGGAGGAAGGGGAGATTCCAACATTGTGAAGGTATTCGAGCAAAAAATTCTGTGTGGTGCTTTTCCAGGACCATGATGCAACGTAATGGTAGAGCACTCACATGTACCTAGCTGCAACTCAAAACTATGCAGCCTCTGTTATTCTTTATAATTTTGTTCAGTTTCTCTGTTGTTATGTACCTGTCAGAGTAGCATAGAGTGTCGGGTGTCAAGGTAGCCTGTATCTCCTTGTTGCAGAAATTTTGGGGTTGTAACTTTGTATCCCTTGTCTGAGTAAGAGATGACGGATAACCCAGAGATGTCTGGTGATATTTATGTTGACTTTTTCTTGAGCTGCGATTTTACAATGTTGGGTTCTCGCCTCCGAGTCGTCCCACAGTAACCAGACATTGCTTCTACCCAGAGTTGTTTGGTGGGATATTTATGTTGAAGATTTCTTAAGCTGCTATTTTGCAATGATGAACGGGGATGGATCAGTAGAACCAATGTTTGGATTACTGTGTGACGACGTGTACTGTGCGACGACGTGAAGGAGAATTTATGCTGAGTGGGAAAAGCACAACCTGCTGCTGCTGCAGCCTGAAATTATGCAGCCTCTGTTATTCTTCTATAATTTTCAGTGCATCTGTTTTTGTGTACCTCCCAGAGCAGCGCATAGAATCAGGTGCCAAGGTAGCATGCGCTAGCTCCTTGTTGCACAGGTTTTGGGGTTGTGACTTTGTATTGCTTGTTACTGAGCTGAACACTAGAATGGACAATTTGAAGTTGCATACACAGAATACAGTGTTTTGCAGCAGAATTCATGGTCTACAAACACACTAAATTAGTTGGGAATGGAGGCTAATCTATTAGATGCTGAACGTGATGCATGATCACTGCAAACTCTTTTTCCTGACACCTAAAAAGAACAGAGAATTTAGCCAGATCTAATGATCTACATACGTTTCCACAATTGTACTTTGACATTCTCGAAGGGGGGAAGCAGCAGTAATAATATTAATTAGAAGAAAAGAACAAGCAAGCCCCCTTGAAACACGATTTTTGTTTCTTCTGTTTCATGTGTTTCTTTTTCCTGTAAGAGCTGAACTGATTTCTAAACAATTTATGTAAAATTTATCTTCCTCTAAGGTAAAGGGGTCATGGCTCATGGGGAAAGAATCTGCTGAAACGCGCGGCACGCGTGAGTTGTGAGACGCCTCAGAAAAACGCAACCTCTTTTGCTGCAAAGAAAAGGGACGCGGGCACGCGACTGGGGCTTCGTCGCTACACAGAGGCAGCGCAGGCCCACTCAACAGAGAGAGAGAGAGAGAGAGAGAGAGAGACATCTAGCACGCGACGCCGCGGCCTCGATCGGAGTCGGAGGCGAACACACCCATGGCGGCGGCGGGCGGCGGCGCAGGAGGGAAGGTGTCCTTCAAGATCATCCTCACCTCCGACCCCAAGCTCCCTTTCAAAGTGTGAGTACCACCAGCGCTTTCTCTCGCTCCCTCGGATCTGATGCCCCGGCGATCGATCGATCGCCGTGGCTGTCTGCGCTGCTCCCCGATCTGCGATTGATCCGACCCGCTCGCTCTGGGTTCCCGCAGGTTCAGCGTGCCCGAGGCGGCGCCCTTCACCGCGGTGCTTAAGTACGCCGCAGAGGAGTTCAAGGTCCCGCCCCAGACCAGCGCCATCATCACCAACGGTACACCATCCACCCCTCGCCCCCCTTGCCCCTCGCCTCATGAGAATTCTTCACTTGGATCGTGATCTCTCTTGCTCGTACGCGATTCGAATGATCCTCGCAGAGAGGAGAGGATCTACCCGATCATGATGGCTGATAGCAATTTTAGAAGGAATCGTGTTAGCGATTTTCGTTTTAGTTGGGATGATTGCATAGTTTTCTATCAGCCTATGTCTGTGCCACTTCAAATGGCCATGGTCGTGGTATTTCCATGTGAAATTTGGTGGGGGAAATTTTAGGTTCCTACGACCATGGAAATCATTTAACTGCGCGAGTGAATTCCACCTGCAGCACGTGCCATTGATGTTGGATGCCTAGGGTTACCTTACGTGTTTAGTTAGTTCCTCACTCCAAGTAGATGGCACAGCTATTTGGGATCTTGTGGCAAGCTAAATTTTAGACAGCGACTTGTTGCTTGCAGTGGATGACATGCAAGGGACATGTCCAATACCACGTTGCTCAGGTGGAAACCTATCACTGCAGTATGTAAGACATTGCTACTGGAGTGGTTTAGTGTTTTGTTTGCCATGGTGGCTTTATTATGTCCCAGGCAATGCCAGTCTGTAGTTTCGCTGTTTCAATATTGTTCCATTTAGTTCCTTGTTAGCTGTGTTGTATTGGTCCTGATAATTTAGGTGCCGATGCATAACAGAAGGTAATTTGTGCCTTTCGAGCTATTGTGTCTAGACATGATTTGGTTCCTGTTTATGTAATTACTTTAAGATTTTTAGCGCTCTGGTTTGATCACCCAAATCTTGTTTGAGTATAATTGGAAACATGGAATGGTAAAATCTTGAATTTTCCCATCTTCATAACTTCACTTCATAATGGTACGGAAATTGCATTTGGTAGCATAAAAATTTAAGCAGTCATATATTCAAAAAGAAAAGCATGTGCTACCATTTCCATGGTTATTTGTCTATAAGAATGGTGTGGATAACTTTTGGCTTCCTATCTATGTTGTTGCATGTTGGTGATCAGTGGCTGTAACATAGCACTTCTTGATGCACCTATTGCTGGTTATTACCACCAAGCTTGTGTGATGTGCGATGTTCTTTAAGTTTTTTACTTAACATCTGATGATCAGTAAATGTTCGTGGTGCTTGTCATACACAATACTCATACTTTGTCCTGTAATAATTTTGTATTCTCTCCTTTGCGCAGATGGAGTTGGCATCAACCCCCAGCAAAGTGCAGGTACCATTTCAAGATACATGCATACATTTTTGTTTCGGATCTGTGTTTTTTTTTTCCTGGCGTGGTGTCCTCGTGCCTTCTAGAAAGTCACCAATGCAATATTTTTCCTGACACAAATATGTTGTATAGAAGAATTTGCATCAGCGAACCATTATAATGTTCTGAATTATAGAACATCGATAGAAATATTATATAGGCCTGTTTTGGATCTGTCCTTTTTTTTTTGGTTGCCATACAATGCACTACGTAAATTGTTCTGACACAGAAGTTGGCAGCTGAAATTAGGAGTGTTGCCTGTAGGCTGTTGCATCAGGTTGAGTTGTATTTTGCACGGCGTAAATAGTCTTGTAAGTTTGATCTAGTGCCATCCTTATGTAATTTATAAGCACTTGAACATGCATTTGAAAATTCCCATGACTTAGCAAATAACATGGCATGGCATAGGCTTTGCACAAATGAACTGCTATGCTGTACCGTTTCTTGGATGAGTACCTCTGTTACTGGGGTGAACGTTCTCTATTTTGAGTTACTACATCGAATGTGTTTGTAGGTTTGATTTCTTTTATTTATCTGGCTGTACCTTTTCTTTTGGACGAGGCCCCAGTTTCTGACATGAACTACTGTTTTTCCTCAGGCAACGTGTTTCTGAAACATGGTTCGGAGTTGCGTCTCATCCCCCGCGACAGAGTTGGAGCTGTGGTTGTGCCTTCCTATTAGAGGATACAATGCATAATTATCAAAACCTGAGAAAAATAAAGCTTTGATGTTAGCTCTGCTTGGTTGTAGAATGTTACAAGGATAGTAAGTGAACCTAACCGTATGTGATGTCTCCATTGTATACCCTCTGTTTGCACTGGGTCAGTGGCGCTAGGAAGTGGTTTATGTTGAGAGGTTTCTGAAAGCGAATCGAGTATCTGAACTAACCGCCGCTATCTGTCCGCGACTCGCGGGTTCTTGACTTTTGCTGAACAAAACGATATGGCCATCGCGCCGTCAGTCAGTTCAAGTGTGAAAAGCATTTTACTACTTCTCCATCTACATTATAAAGGTTAACAGCAGACCCGACTCGCGTCGGCCTCCGCGGCTCTGCGCCGTGCACGAGAGTACTGCCTCCTCCCGTGCCAGTTTGTTGGATCAGAAACGCTATCTGTTTCTGAGCTGATAAGACTGGCCGATGCTGGTTTATTGTGAGAGAAAAATATTGTGCCATGGCTGATAAGTCATGACTGAAACCAACAAGCGTTTGAGTCGATTTCTGTTTGTTTTCGCTTTCGTTGGGTTGGAGAGAGGGGGTGGCGGGATCACGTACAGGACCCGGAGCCGCAAGACCTCATTATAAATAAATAAAACAGATCTTATTTTCTTCTCTCTCTCGTTGGTTTCCTGTGCTGACTGCTGAGAGGTTCCCTATTTGTTTCGTTCGACAAGGTTTTAGCCAGCCATACCATATCCATCCATCCCTCTGCCGCCGCCGCCAGGGGATGGGGATGGCGACCGACATGCAGAGTCTGGATCATATCAAAACAGAGGCGATTGATCTGGTCAGATTGATTTCATCATTCAATTGAGATTCACACACTTTTCTTTCTCCATTATTTTCAAAATAATCTAGACCTCGTGGTGTCGAGATCAGACAAGTGTGTTATTTGCTCTAATCTAATCTAACACATGCACGTGCATCTACTACTACTTTGCAGGAGAGCATTCCTATGGAAGAAGTGTTTAGCACCCTCAGATGCAGTAAGGAAGGTCTTAGCTCTGGCGAGGTCCAGCAACGCACCGCTATCTTTGGTCCCAATAAATTACAAGAAAAAAAGGTCGGCCATATGCATTCTCATCTCTTTCCTTCCTTTTTAATTCTTCGTCTGTTCCTTTTTATTTGTTGTCTGCCAATTTTAAAATCAACACAAGTACTAATATATGTTGAAAGCACAACTAGAAGTCATCGTAGATTAATATGTTATATAAAAGGATACGGGTGTCAGCACCACGGATAGGCCACGCTTGTTAAATTTGCTACTAGTGTCGCTGTTAGATGCTATGATCACTTGGATTAGGGAAGGAAAAGCAGACTATATTATCTAGTCTAGACTAGAAAAGGGACGAAATAACCTAACAGGATTTTCACCGGTTGTCTAGCTTATGGCAATGTTTTATATGCGAGTACAGTTCCTTTATGGCATTTAAGACGAAGTAACTCGATCGTCTCTTTTTTTTTGACAGAAGATCGTCTTTATAATAGCTTATTATATTTAAAAATTGATTTTAGTATATAAGATTATAAGTTCTCTAGCTATTTTTTCTAACATGAGCGTATACAATGATTATAATACATTAGTACTCTTTTAATAACCTGACTGAATATATAATATGCTTAAAAAAATTTAATCTGCAATATACGCATAATTTGGTCGCAAATAAAATAACAGTGTCATATTTCCATTGTCGTGTTTGCAGGAAAGTAAGGTATTGAAGTTCTTAATGTTTATGTCGAACCCACTGTCGTGGGTGATGGAGTTTGCTGCTCTGGTAGCCATTGGGTTTGCCTACGGAGACGGCAGGCCACCGGACTGGCAAGATTTCGTCGGCATTATAGTGCTCCTCGTCATCAACTCCACCATCTCATTTATCGAGGAGAACAACGCCGGGAGCGCCGCAGAGGCACTCATGGCCAACCTTGCGCCCAAGACCAAGGTGCTGCGTGACGGGCGGTGGAGCGAGGAGGACGCGGCGGTCCTTGTCCCGGGTGACATTATCAGCATCAAGCTCGGCGACATCATCCCAGCCGACGCTCGCTTGCTCGAGGGCGACGCGCTCAAGATTGACCAGTCGGCGCTCACCGGCGAGTGTCTTCCGGTCACCAAGAACCCCGGCAACAGCGTCTACTCGGGCTCCACGTGCAAGCAGGGCGAGATCGAGGCGATCGTCATCGCCACCGGTGTGCACACCTTCTTTGGGAGGGCGGCGCACCTCGTCGACAGCACCAACCAAGTCGGCCACTTCCAGCAGGTGCTCAAGGCGATCGGCAACTTCTGCATAGCCACCATCGCCATCGGCATATTCGTCGAGGTCGTCATCATGTACGCGGTCCAGCACCGCCGGTACCGTGAAGGCATCGACAACATCCTCGTGCTTCTGATCGGTGGCATACCGATTGCCATGCCTACTGTGCTCTCCGTCACCATGGCAATCGGCTCTCACAAGCTGTCATTGCAGGGCGCTATCACCAAGCGCATGACCGCCATCGAGGAGATGGCCGGCATGGATGTGCTTTGCAGTGACAAGACTGGCACGCTCACCCTCAATAAGCTCAGCGTTGATCGTGGCCTTATTGAGATCTTTGCTGCGGACCTTGAAAAGGATGATGTTGTCTTGTTCGCCGCTAGGGCATCTAGGGTGGAGAACCAGGACGCAATCGACGCCGCCATGGTTGGCATGCTCGGTGACCCAAAGGAGGCTAAGGAAGGCATTGAAGAGGTGCATTTCTTCCCCTTCAACCCCGTCGACAAGCGAACTGCCCTCACATATATTGATCTCGCCGACGGCACCTGGCACCGTGTCAGCAAGGGCGCTCCCGAACAGGTACAGTGTCATGGATTACTCATCCTCGTCTATTTTTTACCCACTGAAAGTCTGATTGTATCCATGGTGTGCATGATTGTAGATGCTGGCCCTCTGCAACTGTGGAGATGATGTCAAGAACCTGGTTCACACTGTGATCGACAAGTACGCCGAGCGTGGTCTTCGGTCTCTTGCAGTTGCAAGACAGGCATGTTTACTTTTAGAATTGCATTCTTTTCTTGACAGGAGGAGTATGTTTATTTTAATTGTGTCTAATATTTTATCTTGTTTTTCTACAGCAAGTTCCGGAGAAGAGCAAAGAAAGCCTTGGAGAGCCATGGGAATTTGTGGGCCTGCTCCCTCTCCTGGACCCGCCGAGGTCAGATAGTTCTGACACAATCAAGCGTGCACTCGACCTCGGTGTCAACGTGAAGATGATCACTGGTACATTCCGCATTTGATTGTCTAAATAATTCTACTTTTACGCTGCAGGCCTGAGAGGTTCATGCTGACATGCTTTGACATTGGCACCTGCAGGCGATCAGCTCGCCATTGCTAAGGAGACGGGGAGACGGCTAGGGATGGGCACAAACATGTATCCATCATCGGCTCTGCTTGGGAAAAGCAAAGATGAAGCCACTGCTTCAATTCCTGTGGAAGACTTGATCGAGAAGGCCGACGGCTTCGCCGGCGTCTTCCCAGGTTTGCATGAACACATAATTGCACTGTAGTAACAATTGGTTGGATTGTTTACTCATTCTGAAGTTGTGCACTTTGATGCAGAGCACAAGTATGAGATTGTCAAGAAGCTGCAGGAGATGAAGCACATCTGCGGAATGACAGGAGATGGCGTGAACGATGCGCCAGCTTTGAAGAAAGCGGATATCGGAATTGCTGTAGCTGGAGCTACTGATGCGGCACGGAGCGCCTCTGACATTGTGCTTACCCAAGAAGGGCTCAGCGTCATCATCAGTGCCGTGCTCACTAGCAGGGCCATCTTCCAGAGGATGAAGAATTACACTGTAAGCGAGCATTTCTTCTTGCGACGAAATTCACTAATTAATGATGCCTTACGATTGTGACCATAATTAATTCCTTCTCTTGTTTTTTTGGTTTGTTAGATATATGCGGTGTCAATCACTATCCGTATTGTGGTAAGTTTTTTACCTAGGCTTTGCAAAAAATCTAGAGACATGTATGGTTTTATATTTGTTTGAAATTCTTATTTACCATGAATCGTGAATGTGAAGCTTGGGTTTCTGCTAATTGCGCTGATATGGAAATTTGATTTCTCACCATTCATGATTTTGGTCATCGCCATTCTGAATGATGGTAAGTTTGCAGTACAACTTCATTCAGAGGCATACAATACAAAACAGTTGCATATAATTCCTGTGCAATCAACACTTGTTTTTCTAAAGAAATATATACTGTATGATTTCAGGCACTATCATGACTATCGCAAAGGACATAGTAAAACCGTCGCCACACCCTGATAGCTGGAAGCGAACGAGATCTTTGTCACCGGAATTGTTTATGGTGCCTACATGGCTGTAATGACGGTGGTGTTCTTCTGGGCTATGAGAAGCACCGACTTCTTCTCTGTAAGCATAGATATCTTCTTCTGTCTTCTCCATTACTAATCAATCCAAATTGAGCATGAAAGACAATAAGATTATTCACTGCCTCGACATGACATTTTCTTATGGAAATGCAGAACACCTTCCATGTGAGGTCTCTGCGTGGCAGCACCGATGAGATGATGTCAGCGCTGTACCTGCAAGTGAGCATCATCAGCCAGGCCCTCATCTTCGTGACGCGGTCGCACAGCTGGTGCTTCACGGAGCGCCCCGGCTTCTTGCTATGTGCAGCGTTCGTCGTCGCGCAGATCGTAAGCATCCTTTCAATTCTGATCGAGCAACGAGCATGCCTACCACATCGATCGATCGATCTTGAAATCAAACTGCTTGTGGTTGCAGGTTGCCACTGTCATTGCAGTGTTCGCGAACTTTGGGTTCGCCCACATCAGAGGGATCGGATGGGGTTGGGCCGGCGTCATCTGGCTCTACAGCCTCGTCACCTTCGTCCCACTCGACCTGTTCAAGTTCGCCATCCGCTACGTGCTGAGCGGCAGGGCCTGGAACAACCTCCTGCAGAACAAGACGGCCTTCACGACGAAGAAGAACTACGGTAGGGAGGAGCGCGAGGCGCAGTGGGCGACGAAGCAGCGCAGCCTGCACGGCCTCGATATCGAGGCGGGCGGTGGCGACAGGAGCTTCGAGCTGCCGGAGATCGCGGAGCAGGCCAAGCGGCGAGCCGAGTTCGCGAGGCTGCGCGAGAAGAACACGCTGAGGGGCCACCTCGAGTCGGCGGCCAAGGTCAGGGGCATCGACATCAACGCCGTCAGGACGCCCTTCTACAGCATGTGACCACCGACGTGATCGATCGAGCGGCCGGCCGGGCGGCGTCGCTTCCGTACGTACTCGCTGCGTGTTTTTAGGAGCGGTACATGAAGCAAGTGTCTTCGATCTCCATAGCTAGCTAGTTAGTTTGGGGTCGGTTGGTCTGGTTTGTTCGTAGTTTGGTTGGCTCGCTGGTTGCTCAGTCAGTCAGGTTACACACGTTTGTTTCTGCCTTTATGGTCTGTTAATTACATTGCATTACACTCTTCTGAATTTTCAGAAGTGTATGTGCTTCTTTTATTTATTTATTTATAATATCCTAACTAATTGTGAACTAAGTCAATGTTTCGTCGTTTCGGTGGTCGTGTAATTCAAATTCCATTGTCAATTTCACTGAGTACCATCATGGCTGAGATTTTAACCGTAAGGCTAGTACTAGTGGTGAGTTTTATGGCGTTGTTTCCAAAACAGGCATATCATATACAATGAAATGAAACTTGGATGAAACACCCCCTCTCAATGCAAAGTTTTATTGTAGTTTCAAAGTCATTTAATTCTATGACTCATAGAAAGTTGGTAATCGTGCTAAGAGAGTTTCATTTATTCTCTCTCTTCTTAAATACATCCCTCTCAAGGGAAGGAAAATGATGCAGAAGGAACAGATCAACAACTTTGGCTACCAAGGTGCCAAAAGAATTATCTACCATATTTCGGGGAAAATTTTTGACATGAGAAAATCAGCAATATCTCGGGGCAGAGCATATTTGAGTTGAGCAGTTTCTAAGAAGGCTACAGATCAGCCCATTGTAAGCACCAACAAGCTTCAAAATGTCCCTGGACCAGAAACCTTGGATGTTGCACCAGGGAGCGTATTTGGGCCATATATATATATATATATATATATTTGGTGACCATATCCAAGGCAGGTCATGACTATCAAGCAAGCTATCTGCAATTACTTCCAACTCTAGGGCCACGATTTTCATTGTCCTTTAGACTGGAACAGTAGGCATCAACGCGAGCAAAATTATTGTGCAGGTATTCCACGAGACCATTATCCCTGTCAGAATCAAATAAAAGGTAGTCGACGATCATAGTTGGCCGGAAATTCCAGTCATGATCAATTGCACCAATCTCGTAGCACTGTCCACCAAAGCGAAGATCATGACTATCATCTACAGGATCAGCACTAGGGTGATTGATTTTGTATTTATTCGTCAGGCATGCGTGGCAGTTATCTGCATTATGCACAAGAAGGATTAGCCACATAGAATATATATTTATGAACTTGAACAATCAGACAGACAAACAAAATAAATGCTTCAACAAGAAAAACATCTGGATCACGTTAGTAAATCATGCATTCAAGTTCAACGCCACTTTTGATTTATTGGAATCGCACGAGAAATCAAGTTTCAGACATCCTGGGATAGTTGGCTAATCATCGGTTCAGAAATTTTATTGTGTACTCCCTCAATATTGGTAAAGAAAGTCATTTAGGACAGCATTTAATATATCAAGAGTAATTAATTAGGATGTATTTTTTTGTTTACTCTTATTAAATACGGTTGCAGGTACTACTCAAACAACAATCGTTGGTAGTTGGAGCGTTGAGTGCGTCGCGGCCTGAGGTAAGAGGTGCGCACGGTTCGAGCTCTCTCAGGCGTGTGATATTTTTCCCAGCGTCCTGAATTTTGCATGGCACAGACCAGTTCGGTGCATTTTTTTGGCCGTTCTTGCTCACGTTTGGGTGTCTGGCACGCGTTTTGCATGGCCATTTTGCTGGGTTCGATCTCAACGGGCGCAGCCTTCAACATCGTTGCAGTCGTGGGTCACGCCGCAGCGAACGCAAGGATGCGGCTGGGAGTCCGGCGGCAAAGAGTATGGCACAAAGTCTTGCTGCGCGCTGGAGTCCAGCTCGAGTTCCTGCGGCGTCATGGAGTCCTCGAGGTCCTGCGGCACCATCTCCATGGCGTGAGCGAGCTTCATGATGGAGTCCGGCGCCACCACCTCCCCCGACGTCACAAAGTCCGGCACAACCTCCATGGCGCGAGCGAGGTTCATGGCACGAGCGAGCGCGGAAGAGAAGGCCAGCACGTGAGCAAGGACGAAGGGGAGGCGAGCGGACGGGCGTGGACGGGATGGCAACCGAAGCAGCGCTATTTACTCCCGTGAATAAATGAGCGTATTAGGAAACCAAGAGTCCAGGGCAATTCCGTCCAAAACCAGGTTAACAAACCTAAAACGACTTCATTTGTGCAAATGACGCCGGCACCTCAAACGACTTCCTTTGCCGATACGGAGGGAGTAGCTGTTAGGATTGTCCACCAATTTGGCCCAACAGCTAATTGGACTCTTGATCCGCGCTCTGATCGGGGACGTCCAGCCGTTCTTCTGCCTGATGGGCCCCCGTCGCGCAGCGCAATAAATAGGAAGTGGGGGCTAGGGCTCGTGACACGAGGTTCATCGCAGCCGCTAGCTCCACCGAGGTTCCTAGCCCTAGTCCGATATAGAAGGGCGTGCTGTGAGCGACGGAAAGTACCACTACCCTCGCCGTCGCCACTGAACAGCGCCTCCACGTCGCTGCTACATCTACGGCGGCGCTATGGCCATGATTGTGAGGTACATCATCGAGGTTTTGTCTAAGTTAAGTAATTACCCACTGATCTATGCACCTAGAGGTCATTCAATTCTATCAATGGTATCAGAGCCGAGGTTCTAGGGTGTAGATCAAGATCGGGGTAGTAGAGTGAAAAAGAATTAGAAAGAGAATCTGCCCTAACCCTAACCCTAGAACAGGAAGGGACAGAGAGGGGAGGAACCTAACTGGTTTTCCTCGCCAACATCAACACCGCCGTAGCGCGGAAGAAGCTCCCGCCGTCGCCGCCTCGCCAGCATAGAGAAGCAAATAGAAGGAGACTTAACCCTAGCAAAGAAAAATAGAAACGGGCGCGCTCACCCTCTCGTGGGCGCACCCGCCGACGAGGGGGCCCGCGGTGGCGCCATCTTCCTCCTCTGGTTGCCGTGGCGGCTGCCGTTCGATGAAGCTACGGAAAGGGAGCGAAACTGTCTAGGGTTTTGGGGGAGGCGCGGTGGGGAACTAGGGCACCGTCGCCCAGACCGCTCGACGGCGGCGCACTCAGCCTAGGGCGAGCGTGCGCGCCGATGAGGGGACTGGTGGCGGCGCCACTACACCACTGCTCTTCTCTTCGGCTGCGGCGATGATCGAGAAAAGGAAAGGGCAAATGTGGCTAGGGTTTCGGGGAGCCGCGCACACGTGCTGAGGGCGTCGTTGCTAGACCGCTCGACGGCAGCGCGCTCACCCTACGGTGGGCGCGCGCATCGGCGAGGGGACTAGCGGCGGCGCCGCCATCTCTAACTTGCCATGCTTTTCAGAGGGAAGGGAGAGAAAGCAGCGCGGCGAAGAGAGAGAGAGGCAGGGGAAGAGAAGTGAAATTAGGGTTTGGGGAGATCCGTCGGCCGAAGGTTTTCTCTCGCCGAGATTCACGTCCTGCCATTCGATCGAGATCAACGGGCGAGACTGCTCGGGCTGACATTTGGCCTAGGTGGGGCAGCGGATTCCCGGCCTAGGCCCAGGTTGCGGCCTGGGCGTGGGGGAGCGGGCGCGCGCGACGTGGAAGCAGGCCGCTGGGTCGCGTTTTCGTCATTGGGCCGCGCGCGCGAACGCGCAATAGTGATGGGTCGGGTTGTATGCACAGTAAAGATTACAAAATATTTTATTATTTTCATAATTAAATTTTGATGATTTTTGCCCAGTTTAAATCTCTGTCAAAATTTGAACCAACGGGACATTTTTTTTGAGAGAGTTGATGAGTATAGAAAAATGTTTCTGAAAAATAGATAAATTATATTTTTTATGTTTCCACTACAAAGTTTAATGTTGATTATCTTCTAATTAATTTCGAACCAATGGGAGAATTTAAATTTGAAGACCAGTTACATTTAGTAAATTATGATTATGTTTATCCTCTAATTAAATTGGAACCAACGGAAAAATTTTAATTAGAGGAGTAGTCCGATTTGTTTATGTTAAATTATGGTATTATTATTTTCTGACCAACGTTGATGATAACAATATTATAATGAGTTTAAGTTTGAAGTTTAAATCTCTGATAAATTTTACACCAACATGGTCAATTTTCAGAGAGTAGATAAAAACCAAGAAATGCTCCTGAACAAATAGAATGTATTTTATTATCGTGTTTCTGCTGTAATGATGTTGATTATTTTCTAATTAAATTCGAACCAATGTGAGAATTTAATTTTGAAGAGTAGTTGTATGTCTTTCAAGTTAATTTATGAGTTTTATGCATTAATTCTATTTTCTGTCCAACGGTGATGTAGAATTGATGCAGAAGCACCTTGTATGTTTTAATTCGATGAGATCACTCGGCTATATGCCAATGGACTGCAATGCTAGGGTATATGAATGAAAAGGCTTGAGTCAAGCCAGTTAAAAATTGTTTACTAATTTTCTGATTAAATTAGAACCAACGGAAAGATTTAATTGGAAAATAAAGTATAAGTGAATATTTTAGTCGTAATGAATAAGTTTTTGTTACAGCAAATTGTATATAGACGTATCCCGCATGGGGAGAAGTTTGACATAGTATTTATGCTAGTCAATCCTGCATGGCAGGAGAAGTTTTGTGATGACTCATATATTTTGTATCCCGCATAGCAAGAGAAGTTTGGATAGCTCTTATGCTATCCTAGTATTGACCATGGCACAATAGAAATACACAATTAAAATGCACCGTCATGGTCAATACTAATAAAAAACAAGAAAAAAGATGCAAGTGTGACTTGCAAAAGTACCGCTCATAAAAGACCTCGTTGAGTTCTTGAAGTGGAATAAAGAAAGTGTACTCCTATACGAATCCAGAAATAACTTTGTTTGCATGACACAATCATGTGAATGAAGTAAGTCATAAGTGTCTCCTCGGTCACAATTTTTCTGAATAATTCTTGAAATTATTGCAGTAAAGTTTATGACATATTTAAATGGGGAGAATAGAATGATACTCTTCATTGAGAGTGAGATAAAGATTAATTAAGATGAATATGACCGTCGGAGGAGTATAACAGTCATAATAACGATACCCCTAAGTAGAGAAATAGCTAAATTTATAGATTTTTTAAAGTTCGGATAGGAAGATAGCGTAGTCAGCCTCAAAGATATTAAGGTGGTGCTTAAAGCGCCATATAAGGTTTTAACAGATTAAACCTAAATAAGAAATTTGAAGATACACTATATTTATAGAAGATAGAATGATCTAGGAGAGCATGGTATGTAGAGACCTATGACTTGAAGAGAAGCGGAACTGCATGCCCACTTCAGTGATTCAAAACAATAAATTTATCGGTACATGTTGATGTTGTATGACTTATACAACACCTGTTGTTGGCTCTTCGAAGAAGATGAATAATATAAACAAGGATCTTATGATACAGGAGCCTGTAGAATCAACTGCCTCTTGGCAATGAAGCGCAACAACAGCCTCAACTGAAAGTGTCAGTAGATGAGGCCCTAGAAGGTCTCAAAGAATTAGTAAACCAGTTTTCGGATGACTATAAAGTCTATGTTAGTGATAAAATTTAAATGGAGGGTGATCCCATCTCATTTGAAGAAGCCATGAGAATCGTTTACTCGTTTGAATGGCAAGAAGCTAGGGAAGTTAAAATGAATTCGATAAATACCAACGATGTTTGGAACTTAGAAGAAATTTCTAATGAAACAAAAACAGTAGGCTGTGAAAGAGTCTACAAGACAAAATGTGACTCCAAATAGAATGTAGAAAGATATAAAGCATGACTTGTAGCAAAAGGATTTATGCAAAGAGAATGAATAGATTATGATGTGAGTTTTACTCTCTAGTCTCATGCAGGGATCATTTTAGAATCACAATGGCGTTATTGGCATATTATGATTTAGAGTTACATCGGATGGATGTAAAGACGACCTTTCTGAACAGGGATTTGTATGAAAACGTTTACATGGCACAACACAAAGGTTTTGTAGTGGTGGAAGAAAGAACGTATGGGATGCCGTCTGTAGAAATCCATTTATGAGTTAAAATAAGTCTGTAGACAGTAGTATTTAAAGTTGATGAAACAATAAAAAAGTTTGGGTTTTAAAGAAAATGAGAATGACAATAGCGTTTATGCGAAGTTCAAGAATGGAAAATTTATTTTTCACATCCTGTGTATAGATGATATTCTACTCACTAGTAGTGATGTTAATCTGCCATTAGAGAAGAAAAAGTTCTTGTCCTCAAGTTTTAATATGAATGATCTTGGTGAAGTAGAAATTCACCGAGATAGAAGAAATGGGGTATTAGGACTATCACAAAGGTATAATTAGAAAAGATTCTAAAGAAATAAAGTATGCATGCGAGTAAACCTACGTCTGCTCCTATAGTCAAGGGTAATAGATTTGGGAACTTTAAGTGTTCCTGAAACCTATATGAGATCGATCAAATGAACATGGTTCCTTATGCTTCAGTTGTTGGAAGCTTAATGAATGTACAAGTAAGAACTTATCCTGACGTAGCTTACGTATCCGGGATATTTTGGCAGAAGTCCAGTTTTGCAATTTTGCAAATTTTGCGAATGTCTTGCAATTTTGCAATTAAGTTGAGAATGTCTTGCAATTTTGCAGAGTATTATGGGCCTCATGTTGAGTAAGAAAGAACAAGTACTCTGAAATAGTTGTGGGTACAAAATGTTAAGTCTTGGCGAAATGTGTAATGAAATTCACAGTAGTTGCTAACACTCGTAGTTGGAGTATTATTATAGAAAAGCTCCAAAGAAACATTTATGGTGTCATCTATGATACATACCATAGTATAGCTTGTCACGAAGCTTCAGGAACATGCAAAAGGAGGTTAAGAGAATTTGTATCCGAATTTAACAATGGTAGTCAACAGCAATAACCATTTAAAGTAGTTAACTCCTAAGATAACAGGTCAAGTATGCTGTCAAACACATTAACATTAAGTTATATGTTGTAAAGGAGAAAATCCAGAATTATTTTGAAAGCATTGAGCATATGAGTACCAAGCAAGTACTTGCGGATCCGCTTACCAAAGACTAACCACCCAGTGCGTTCAGAGAACACACAGTCGACATGGGTTTACAGAAAAGCCTATGATTTCTAGATACTAAGGACCTAGTTGAGAATCTGTTTCAAAATAGAGATGTGCATTGTAGCTGTTAAATCTAATGACAACTGACCGTGACGATGAGGCACACTTTATGCACTGATCTGTGATGGAATGGGAAAAGATAAAGTAAGTTAAATTTAAGTCATAAGGTGAGATCAAGGGGGAGAATGTTAGGATTGATCTCCACCAACTTGGCCCAACGACCAATTGGGCCCTTGATCCGTGCTCTGATCAGGGGCGCCCAGCCGTTCTTCTGGCTGATGGGCCCCCGTCGCGCAGCGTAATAAATAGGAGGTGGGGGCTAGGGCTCGAGACACGAGGTTGATCGTAGCCGCCAGCCCCACCGAGGTTCCTAACCCTAGTCCGATCTAGAAGGGCGCGCTGTGAGCGACGGGAAGTACCACCGCCCTTGCCGCCGCCACTGGACAGCTCCTCCACATCGCTGCTACATCTATGGCGGAGCTATGGCCGTGACTGTGAGGTACATCATCAAGGTTTTGTCTAAGTTAAGTAATTACCCACTAATCTATGCACCTAGAGGTCCTTCAATTCTATCAGTAGCAACTGTGCCCAAAACTCCCAAAGATGACAAAAATATCAGTTGCTAGATACTCAGGTTACTAGATGTGCATCTTAAAACTCACAAGATCAAGCAAGGGGTTACTAAATTTATTGTGGCAACCAGAAGCCAAACTATTCATCAAGAGAAAGAGAAGTGACTGGTTCTACGCTAATGAAAACGCCCTTCACATCTAAAGGAAGAAAAAGCATTTAAAAGGAACAAATGAACAACTTCTGCTACCAAGGTGACAAAAGAACGATTTAACATATTTCTGGGCAATGTTTTGGCATATGAGAAAATCTGCAATATCTTGGGGCAGTGCCTATTTGAACAGATCTTAGAAGGCTACAGATCAAACAGGCGAATATGGCAACATATGCATTCCATAAGTTCATTAAAGAAAAGGTGAAGAGAGCGTGGAAATTGACAGTCACAGTACCAACATCCGGTGATGAAGGTTCAATAAGGCAGCAAACGGAGATATCCTCTTCCTGAAAGTCGTGGCGTCCAGGACGAGGTGCTTCAGCAAAGAAAAACAGGGGACGTCCTGGTTCTGCACCAGAGCTAGAGCTATGATGATCCTCCTTTGGCTGGCCCATGAAATTGATATGGAAATAGTTGTTGAAGTCCTCATCATCCAGCAAGCTGTCACCATATATGGTGTGAAGCTCATAGTGTAGCCCAGTTCTGCTGGCGAACTTGCAAAGCGCGACATCTGCAAATTGAAGCAACGAAGTGCACCATTTTATGGCACCTCTCCTCCTGCTGTAGATGTACTCGCCGACCTCTAGGCTCGGTTCTGGCGGCCGTCACCGGCATGAGGCCAGTTCATCGGGTAGGGGGTGCGGCACTAGCAGCTTGGAGAGGCGATCGACGTCGAGGCTGGAGAGGCCGCCACGCTTGCCGACCAGCAAGCGAGCGACGTCCCGCTCCACGCAGGGAAGCACCGAGGACGCGAAGAGCGCGAAGGCCGCGGGGTCGGGGTGCCGCGCCGCCTCGGCAGCCACCTGGAAGGCGGCCCTGACTACCTCCGGCTCCGCGGTGCGCAGGAGGGACGGTCTGGCGCAGCGAGCGGAGGCGGTGGCGACGCGGAGGTCGGCGCGGGAGCGGCAGAGCTGCCAGAGCGCGTCGGCGGGGGAGAAGGCGGGGCAGACGTGCAGGAGGCAGGCAAGCAGTCCGTCGAGCGAGCGGCGGGCGGCGCGGTCCGTGCCCTGGGCGCAGATGACATCCGCCTCGATCCTGTCCTCGGGGCGGAGAGGGAAGGCGGCGGCGTACCAGACGGAGTTGGCGACGATGTTGTCCGCGGGGTGGAGCGGGCCGTAGCAGTGGCCGCCGACGAGGAGGCCGCGCGCGAGGGTGACCCTGAGCTCGGCGCTGGGCAGGCGCGACATGGCGTCCAGGTAGAAGCCGCGGATCAGCCCCAGCAGCCTCCACCTCAGAGCCGGGGTGTCTTCCCGTGGCCTCCGGCGCGGCGGCGGAGGGGAAGGAGAGGCTGCTGGATGGGACGCGGATCCGCCACTGCCTCCTGGCTCCTCAGCGGCGCGGCGGCGGCCGCTGCGTCGCCTACCCATCCGATCGAATTGAATCCTTGCCTGGGATTTGCGGGTAGGGTTGTTTCAATGAAGTTGAACAAGGCGGCGTGGCGGGAAAGGATTCGGAAACGGAAAGGAACAGGCCTCCCCAAGACCCCAAACCCGTCGTCTAAGAGCCAAGATTTCATGAATGCCAACCTTCATGAATGCCAACCTTGGCCCTTGGGCATGTTGTGCTTTACGCAGTGTCATAATCCTAGTTCTTTCAATTTATCCTATTTTCATATATACATGAAACTCAAAACATTTCCATTTTGAAAGAATCCTGTCAAAAATGCCTGGAGCCTATGTGCCGCCTTTTTGAACCGTTATAAAGGTGAAATAACCAACGATCCTCCATACACTAACCTTAGTTCGTAATCTAAAAAAACGCTAACCTTAGTTGATGCTAAGCACGCAACAGATTCACTGAAAACAGGGGAAATAAGAATTGAGAGCAGACAACCAAACATAACACGAGCGGAACAAAATCCGGGGCAGCAGCAGAGTTAACATGCATAGCACTGCATCTACATCAACTATTTTAACCACCGTAGTCTGTCTGCCAGCACCTGCACCTTTGCTAATCGTTAGACAAGCCCAGGCAAATCCCCTGTGACTTGTTCTCCTCTCCCCCCAATGGAATCCTCTGCAATTCACACCTCACTGACCAAGCGATCACACTGAATACTATCCACGAGGCCCAAAGCCCTAAACATCATGAGGACCTGTATATGCCATCGCAGCCGACCCGATCGTCCAAGTACTTTGCAACATCAGTTCTGGGAAGCTCTTTCAGGTGACCTTGCCACAGCTAGAAACTACATCGCGTGACATCCACAGTGCTCTGAAAATCGGTAATATGCCAACTAAGCAACACAATATGCTCATTGCCTTGTGCAGTTGGTAAATTTGGAAGCGACGGAAGAAGGGAACTGTCTTCCGCAGTGAGACGATCTCCCTGCGACAACTACACTTGACGATGGGGATTCCGAAGGATGGTGTTGCCAAGACTGCGATTGAGCCGACGTCGTGTGGCAGGTAGGGTTGTTTCAGTGCATTAGAATGTAATAAGTATAGAATGTGATAAGTTTAGAATGTCAAGAGTCATGTAATTTCCCTATATAAACTCCTACTCAATGAATGGAAAGTGCTAAGCCACTTACTCTAATTATTCCAACATGGTATCAACCGGTTACCTTCCTTGACCTCTCCTTTTCCCCGACGTTTCCATCGCGTCGTTCATCTTCCGTACGTGCCGCGCTGTTCCTCTTCCGTGCGTCTTCCCACCGAGTCGCCCTCTTCTTCACTCTGCCATGGCCGACGACAACGCTCAGGCTGCCGCCGCCCTGGCTGCAGCGATCGTCGCTGCCATGCCTCCTCCCAATCCCGCCCCAAGTTTGGCTTCCGCGCTTGCCACGATCAACGTGAAAACTCATATTCCCTTGGCGCTCGAACTCAATCCATGTAACACCCTCGGTGTTACGCCCTAAACAAATTACCAAATCATGTCATAAGCATCATGTTTATGTGATAATACCTATAATGGAAGGTGTAGATAATATTTTGTAACTTCGGATGATCAATAAAAATGTTAAATGAGAAACTATTACACAACTCATGTATATCAAGTAAGGTTTAAAACTAATTTTTATTGAACAAAAATACTATAGAACATATATAGGACACTTAAATAGAATTTGGAATATGAACTTTGTAGATAACAATAAAATACTTGTTGTGGAAAAATGCACATTGCTAGCCAACATTTCTAATAGGCTAAAAATGGAACTTGAAATCAAATTCAGTTCAAGTACTTAGAAAAATTTAAGTATATATATAAGCAAAGAAGACGATTGCAATGTTTGGCGATTTATTTTGTGAAATCGAGTTAGGAGGTGGTGTCGTGTTTTAGCTTGGGTTGGTAGCCTCATATGCCATCTTGAGCATGGTGAAGATGGTTTAGGTCCGTAAGCAACCGCTTAGTTGTTATAGATGCTTTAAAATACGTGCACGACGCGTTCTCGCCAAACTCGTCGGGTGGATGCGGTTACCTAGCTCAGGCGCTCGGCGCCGCCACGCTGGTCGCAAGGCGTGGCCGCCATGGCTACCCGCCTAGCCTAGCATGCGAGCTAGCTATCGCCGCCGCTTTCGCCTCGCCCGCCACAACGAAGTTACTACGCTGGCGACGTCATCTCGCCGTCGATCCGCACCCCTCGCGGCTCGCACCGCTTATCCGCCTTTGCGATTGGCCTCGCCGCCGCCTTTGACGCTGGCGATCCGCGGCATCGGCACATGGCCATACCTGCTGTCGCCTCGCCCATAAAGCGCGCGATCGCCGCTCGGTTGCGTGTCGGTCGCGGACGCCGCTGCGACGCCTTTGTCCAGAAGCGCCTACGCTGCAAAGCGCCCTGATCGCGCCACTCACGTCCGGCATAAGGCGAGGACGAGTTGAGCTCTTACCTACCCCCCTCTCTTTCTTTGCTGCCATGGTGGATTGAGTGCGCCATTAAAACAAGCAGGAGAAGTCACCATCGCCCAATTCGTCGCATCATTGGCTCCGTCATCCAGCTGCCTAGCTACCCGCCCCCATCCCGCCTTGAATGGCGCCCGGTCGAGCTTCAATTTTGGAGCTTTCCCGCCACTGCGGACGATAAGGCCGAGTCCGCCCATCACCGGGCAGCTTCCATCGACCACCTCGGGCCAAATTGGTCGCACCGCTAGACTCGTCTCGAACCCCTTCTTGCCATGCGAACCTAAAAGCGGTACCCTACCTTCATTGTTCCAACGCCGCCGCGGTTGTGTCCGTCGTGGCTCATCGTCGAGCTTCATTTGTGCGCGACGTGGCAGCCTTGCTCGAGGCGTCTCCGCCGAACCATCGCTTTCGGTCGGGTCCTTGGTGAGTCGTTGATGCTCACCCGCCACCTCTCATCGCTCCCTTAGCGCGCGTGGCTCACCGGAACGTTGTCGTTGCCACCGCGCAGTTGCCCACCGACGTGGAGAAGTCGCCCTACGCCGTCTCTAGTCTCCGAATCGCTGCCCATTGTTGCGTGTTGGCCCGTACGTGAGCATCGGTCCTCTAGATGGGTTGAGGAAGTCCCCAGTTGGACGGCGTAGCGGTCCAGTGCCGGTCAATGCCGCGTCGGTGAGTGCGGAGGCGTCGGGGACCTCCCTGATGCGAAGACGGGTTAATACGAGGGCCTTCTTGCATAAACATTGTCTGTAGAAATAGTGCGCATAGTCATCATGCTAATAGAGGATAGCGCGGGGGTGTTTTTGCAAAAGCGCCAGCGCGGCAGGCTTCTCCGTCGTGGGCTGGCCTCGCGTGGCCGCGGAAGCGGGCCACTGCGTGCGTGCGCGCCGCGTCGCGTGGGCCGCACGGGAGATTGGTTTTTCTTTTTTTAGGAATATGTGAATGGTTTTCTAATTTAATTTCTGAACTGATCTTTGTAATATAAATCATGTAGGTGTCCAAAAAATATGAAACAAATTTTGTTAAGTTTCTAAAATTGTGATCTATCTGTTAGTGTATTTAGTTCATATATATACATGTTGATACCAGGAGCTATTAAATCGTTTAAAAGTGCTTCATATTATTAAAATGAATCATTGTAGGAATTTTCATGGTAAATTGGTGATAGATTTAGTACTAAATTTTTATGGTAGCTTCATTATATTATTATGTGTTTACTGTAATTTTTGTAGCTTTAGAATAGACTAAGCATTAGGGTAGTTAAATGCTCTTTGTTTCAGTATACATTAAATCATTAGTAGAAATAAAGATATATCCTTCATTTGTAAAGCTAGGTGTTTGTTAGTTGAACCCAACACTTTGTTTGGTAAAGATGATAATTAGCTTAGTACCTTAGTCATTAGAGTTAGCTTAGTAGTTTAGTATGCGTATTCTTAGTTTAAGAGTTGTTGTTGCCTAAATGCTAAGTGTTGCATCATCATCATATGCATGTAGAAGACCGTCCGTTGCTGTAGATGGTAGTCAGGTCATAGACTTATTATCCTGAGCACATACTTACTTATAGGAGCAAGAATGCTCGTTATGCTCTTGTCGTGTGTTCCGGCTTTCTCTAGACCGACTGATTGGAGACGAGAAAAGGTGGAGGTCTAAGCACCATATTGAGACCGGGTCTCAAGTGTGGGGGCTTGGAGTCTAAGTTTGGACGGGGACCTGGACCCTGTGATAGGAGTGGAATGGATTGGTCTTGTTTGTGCCTGGGGTACAAACGAGGCGTGTGTTTCGAGGTACCCAGTTGGGATACATTGGTTCGTGAATCGCTGTTTCCGTGATACGGTACGACTTGGCTATGGTCTAGCACCGTAGTAAGAACTGGAAGATGAAAGATGGTGAAATGGTTCTGATTGCTTAACCCATGCTTGAAAGTAGAACATGTGCTTACCTAAAATGGTTAGCTAATGAATTAATCATGACTACTAATAGAACTTGACTATAAGGATGAACTATTAGTAATGCTTTCCGCAAACAAAAAGAAAACAGCAAACCCATATTGCCTAGCATATCCTTAAGAGTCGGGAAACTATTCCCACTAGTCGGGTAAGTCTTGCGAGTACATTGTGTACTCAGAGTTTATTTTACCCATGTTAAAAGTGCGACTTGAGGAGTTGCTCTTGTGTGGAGAATTCTTCTGGTGGGTACAGACAGATCCTTGTATCGTTTCCGCTAGATGTTTATTTTTATTCCTCTATTTAATTATCGCACTCTGAACTCTGGTATTATAATAAATAATTTTCAAGAACTCTTGTTGTATGAAATGGACTAAGTATTGTAAGCTCGTACTCATTATTGG